GTGGTTTTGCTTCTTTCTTGAGTGGACACAAGTATCTAAAAATAGCTGCCCGGCCAGAGCTGCTGTGGTCCATCAGTAACAGAACGCTGATCATATCTTTGTCAGGCTACCTGAGCCCACCACCCATCTCCGCCTTACTCCCTCCCCTTCAGCCTTCTCACTCCTGGTAAACAGGACAAAAACGGGACACTGAGGCCTGAGACTAGGTGACATCAGTGTCCTTTCTGAAAGTGGATTACTTAAAATTTCTCTTCTCTTTCTTTGCACCTTGGCATCTGTAGTCAGAGACGGCCTGGAATTTCCATGATTCTCAGAGCCTTGACTCCTCTTGGATCCATTCATTGATTCATTCATTCAATAAAGGACTGCTGAGTTCCTTACTGGGTGCCAGGCGCTGGGAGTATGACAATGAACCAGACAGGCTAAGTCCCTGCACTTGGTGGAGTTCACATGCTGGCATCAAGTGTGACACAGAAGAAAGAATATTCCAGATCACTGAGGAAAACTGCAAGCACAAAGGCCCTCAGGCAGAGACTAGGATGATTTATTTGAGAAAAAAAAAAAAGCCAAGTGGCTCCAAGGTCACTTGCAGGAATAGAGAAAGCCAGAGAGAAGGCGATGTGGAGAGACCCTTTCTAACACAGACAGAAAACGAAGCCCAGACGAGCTGTGAGCCGCCCAGAGTCACACAGCGAACTGTTTCCACCGATCATTCTAAAGCCTAACTCTTCAGCCTTCAAATCCAGACTTGCTTAACCCTATATTGATCTGTCTGCCTCGAGCCATAGGAAGACTCTTTGCTGCTCTCATTAATGTTTAAAAGCTCTGAACCTCAACAACAACAACAAAAGCAAGCCAGCCCACATTTTAAGCAGAGAGGGATTGCTTTTGACTTAAGTTGCATGTAAATTCTGCTGTGACAGCTAAGACTTAGCACCAGTCTACGTCTGTGCAGGTGCTCCCCAAACAGTCCTCCTATTTGTGGAAGGCTGGCTTCTCTAACTACGGAGAAAGGACGTAGCTCACCAGAGTCTAATCGCTTTAAGTCTTTTTTTTTTTTTGCACCTCCACCTCTTGATAGTGCTCTGTTTAATTCACCCAAGTGCAATCAAAGCCAATCTGTTCTAAAACTACCTTCATCTGATGCCTTTAAATTGACAGGTAATCTAGCTGTGAGCAAAACATCATAATTACAACTTCCTTCCTCAACCTAAGGGTTGTCTGTTAACAGCAAAATCCTGTAGTCCCTGTAATGTGAGCTATCCTTCCACTTCTCCCATTGCTATGCTACATCTCCCTTCTTCCTCCTGTTAAGCATCCTTGGTGTGTGAACCTCAACCCACACCCACAGTCTAGCCACAGGGTGGTGCCTTTGGCTAAATGGGTAAGTGGAGAAAGGAGCAAAGAGGTAAGTCACTGCCTTCTTCCTCCTCACGCTTCCCATTCCCCTCTCTTTCTAATCTTTCCATTTCTTTCTCTTCTTTTCCCTCCTCCAACAAATTTTTTCCAGTCTGGAGACTCTGGAAGACCAGAGACAAACTAGAAGTGTGCTTAAGAGCCTAGATGGTAGCCCATTATACCCCACCAAATAGGATCAAAAGGATAGCCCTAAGATGTTTGTAAAGATTAAGTGTATTGGGGCTGGGAAGGTGGCTCAGTGGTAGAGCGCTTGCCTTGCATGCCTGAGGCCCTGGGTTCGATTCCTCAGCACCACATAAACAAAAAGAAAAACGCCAGAAGTGGCACTGTGGCTCAAGAGTAGAGTGCTAGCCTTGAGCTGAAGAGCTGAGGGACAGCGCCCAGGCCCAGAGTTCAGGCCCCACGACTGGACCCAAAAAAAAAAAAAAAAAAGATTAAGTGTATTAAAATACACAAAGCATTAGACTGGTCTGTGGTGCAGGATTCTATCCAGGCGTGAGACACACCACCCACTCCCCACCCTCCTCCTGCCCCCATGGCCTAGCCAGGACTTGACAGTCACCTCCACCTTCAGGACGGCACAGCACGCGTGGAATCCCATCGCCTCACTGAAAGGCAGCTTAGTGTCCTGATGGCAAGTGCTAGACGGGACAATAATGAAGTCAAGTAAGTATTGTAAAAATAACTATGAAGTAATACACACGAAGCATCTGGTGAGCTTCTGCACTCACTGTTGTTGTTTTTATTGAGGGTGTGTGTGTGTGTGTGTGTGTGTGTTGTGTGTGTGTGTGTGTGTGGTGCCAGAGTCAGGGATGGAACTGAGCTCAGCTTTTCCACTCCTGGCTGCTGCTCTACCACTTGAACCACATCTCTAGTCCAGTATATTTGCTGATCGGAGATGGAATCTTGCAGACTTTTCTAGCCTGGGCTGATTCCAAACCAAGATCCTGCCCATCTCAGTTTCCTGAGGGAACCACGACAAGGCTTGGAGGTCTTTTTTATAATAGCCCTGAGGGCTGTAACTGTAGCTGTTCCCGGCCCACTTTTCTTCACTGTGTCAGGCTAGAAAGTATGAGAGATTCATGTGCAGGCATCCCTGGGACATGAAGATATACAATGATGATCCACCAGAGTGGATTTGAAAAGCTCCAGCCTGCTTCACAAGGTAAGTCCCACGGTAATCCCTGTACCAGAGGCCCTGGAAGCTCTCCACGGCCTCCTTAGATGGCCACCCCTGACACACCCTGGACACACTTGGGCCATCTCCCACTCAGCCAGTCCTCGGCTGCACACCTGCATTTTCTCTACCATGGCCCTGACCTGGTAGCCCGCCCAGTTGTTCCAAATGGTCACCACTCTTCATTCACACACCACCTGTGCATTACATGTCCTTTATAGCTCAGACTCCATCCACTTCTCCATCCCCGGTGGCTACCATCCCCGCCCTGACACCACTGCATGTGGTCTGACATAAAAAGAAGACCAACCTGGCGCTGGTTTTGAAATGTACTTCAGATCACAGCACTCTTCTTCAGGGCTTAAAATAAAGACTATGCGCTCCCTCCCCTCCCTCCCCCTCCCCCTCCCCCACACCCCAAACCCCATCTACTTCCAACACTAGGGCTTTAGAATCTGTTCCTATACATCTCCTATTCATGTCTCAAAACACACAGGGCTCCCTTGGTTTCTGCTCCAATCATGGGAACCTCCTTTTATTTCCTGACATACACCTACTCTTTCTGCCCCAGATCCTTTGCACTTGCTGACTCCTCTTCTGTAAATACTTCCTCTTCTCATTGGACAAATGACTCATACTTACTTCTCAGGGAAGCCTTCCCTGACCATCCCTCCCTTGGTCTTTGTCTATGCCTTTGATCAGACGTTCTTAAAACTTCAATGAAGCTGTACACTAGTGGCTCATGCCTGTAATGCTAGCCATTCAGGGGGCTGAGATCTCAGGACCATGGTTTGAAGCCAACCCTGGGCAAGAAAGTCTGTGAGAATTTTAGCTCCAGTTAACCAGCAAAAGGGCAAAAGTGGACCTATGGCTCTCTAGCCTTGAGTTAAACAGGGAAGGGACAGTGGCGCAGTCCCTGAGTTCAAGCCCCAGTATGGGCACACACACACACACACACATACACACTGATACTTATGGAACATACATCAACTTTTCCATGCAATGATTGACTTAGATGTCTCTCCAGCCATAAATTCCAAACAGTCAAAACTTTCCTCTTTGCTGTTCTGACTGCATTTCCAGTGCCCAGGACTGTGCCGGCTGTGAAGTTGAGATTTAACAAATACATTCTGAAGGGATCAGAAATAAAAACACAATGTCTATATTTCCAGACACTGAGAGACAGACAAAAATAGCAGGTTGAGGTCGCATTTAAGGTGTTCACAAAACATCTCAGTGTTTCACAAGGACAGCCCTCAATTTCAATAGCCAGTCAGTTCAAATAAGACATTTTCCTCCACCTCCCAGGTTTCCTGGCTCCGGTCTGCAGAAGAAAAGAAATGCACTCACAAAGAAAAGTAAACACACACACACACCGCAAATAAACAAATTTCAAACTGCAGTACACACAGAGCTAATGCCTGGCCCAATTCAGTGGTCAGCAGAGCTAAGGGAGCATCTTTATAGTGTATTCCTCTCACAACTGGACCAACGATTTCAACTTGGTCTGACGCCCCACCGGGTCCCTAGGAGGAACCTGTGTGCTGCTTTCAGGCTCTGTGACTCACATTAGGTACACAGTCTCTCCCTGTTGCTGGGGGGCGGAAGGAGGACACGGTTTCACTTGGGTAGAAGCATGTCCACCATGCCACTGCTTGGGTGGCCATGCTGCCCTGCCCTGCCCTTTCCCTTTCCAGCCACGCCCTTCCCCACAATCGCTCCCCACCCTCTTCTACTCCAACCTAAGCCAAACTAGCTGCCTGGTTTAGGAATAAGATTGAGCCAAGACTGGGGAGGCCCTGTGGGCTTCATTATTCTGTGTTGCTCTAGGAGAAAAGGCCATGGGGGGGGGGGGCAGGGGGAGACAGCTGCGGCGTGAGACCTGAGTCTCACTTGCTGCTGGGAAACCTTCCCCCCTGAGGACACCCAGGGCGTGTGCTGCTGCTCCTCCAGGTCCGGGGAGGGGCGACACCCCACCCATCTGCCAGAGAGACAAAGATCACCAGAAACAAAGGACACACGTACACACACAGACACGCTTGCACACCCCAAGTCAGAAGCAAATACCCAGACTGGGTGCGATTTCCAACGAAACAGCCGGCTTGGTGTGTCTTTAAATAGGATTTGAAAGGATCCAGGAAGGACAAATGAACGTGTGCTCGCGGCAGGCAGGCAGGCCGGCCCGGCAAGCGCGAACTGGGTTCCGAACCCACGCTGCCTCCGCCCTGGTCCCACGGCGCTGCGGTTCCCGGGCGCCTTTCCCAGCCCCAGGACACACGCCCGGCCCGGCCCGCCCGCCACCAAGACCCAAAGCGCTTCGATTCGTGGAAGCGCACACTCTCAGGACAGCAGATCGGGGGCGCGGGGGGGGGCAAGGACGCCCCCCCAAGTCAGAAATACCAACCTTTAGGATCCCAGTTCACCTGTTTCCTTGGTGTCTCGATTGGAAATTTCATTGCTCCAGTTGCCCAAAAGGGGGAGGAAATGACAAGAAATCCAAACAACAACCACAATAATAATAATGATGATAATTAATAAGAATAAAAGTCCACACGCTTTCCCCGGGAGTCCAGGGAAACAATTTCCCAGGATCTGGGAGCCTTGGGGCGGGGTGGCGTGCGGAGAAAGGCAGGCAGGTGTGGCGGGGAGCCCTGGGGTAGGAAAGGAGCCGGGAGAGACTGGCTTGGTGTGTTTGGACGGGCGGCGTGTGGGGTGGGGGCGGCCGGCTGCAGCCCAATGGGTGAGAGAAAAAGTACGGGTGGGCGAGGGATGGATGGAAGGCTGGCGACGGGAGAGCCAATCTGCGTCTCCAGAGCCGTGTGGGCCGGGGGAGGGGGGAGTGGAGGCCGGGAGGGAAGGCCGGGGCTGGGGAGAAGCCCACCGCAGTGTCCCTCGGCCCGGGAAGGCGTGAACGCACGCACACGCGCGCGCGCACACACACACAAACACACACTCGGACCCGCGCCCCAGCAGAGCACGTCAGCGCACACGCCCCACCCTAAACCCAGACACCCTCCCCCCCTCGCCGCCCCCACCCCTCACACACACTCCCCACCCCTCGAAAGCCATTGGACAGGAAGCCTGGCGCGGCGCGCGCGGAGGGAGCCCGGAGACCCCCCGGTG